ACCCTTAGCAACTCATTCCTAGCTTCATCAGTTAAAGTTCGGGGAGAAGAAAGATTAGAATCACCTCTGAGTAAACTAAATAAATTTGTCATTTCTCCTGTAGATATCTTCAGATAAGGTCTTAACCAGTTAATGTCTCCTAATAATTTCTGAAAGTCATTTAAAGTTTTAAGACAATCTTTTCTTATCTCCACCTTCTGAGGCCTAATGCTTTGGTTTTCAATTATGGTTCCCAGATATTGGAAAGGTATTTCTTTTTGTATCTTCTCTGGAGCGATTCTTAAGCCCCATTTAGGGAGCTCCTCTTCTAATTGGGAGAACATGGCCAAGGTCTGTTCCTCCTGTGGGCTTGCTAAGAGCAAGTCATCCATGTAATGAATAATGTAACATTGGGAATATTTGTCCCTTAAAGGCTGAACAGCTTGAGCCACATATTTTTGACACAAAGTAGGGCTATTGGCCATTCCTTGAGGTAAAACCTTCCATTGATATCTTTTCATAGGCTCTATATTATTAATAGATGGCACTGAAAATGCAAATCTCTTTTTATCTTGAGGTGCCAAGGGAATTGTGAAAAAACAATCCTTAAGATCTACTACTATGAGGGACCAATTTAAAGGGATTTGTGAAGGTGCTGGAAGTCCAGGTTGTAAGGCTCCCATGGTATGCATAGTAGCATTAACAGCTCTAAGATCATGTAACAATCGCCATTTTCCTGTCGCCTTTTTAGGGATTGTAAATATAGGCGTATTCCAGGGACTATTGGAAGGTTCTATGTGGCCAGCCTCTATTTGTTCTTGTATTAATTCATGAATTTTACTTAATTTCTCCTTGGTTAATGGCCACTGATCCACCCATACAGGTCTATCATCTTTCCATTGTATAGGATCAGCATGAGGGTGAGGAGGCTGAGCAGTGACCACTCCTAAAAAGGTTGATATCCTATTTGAGTTACGAGCTTCTTTCCTTTGCCAGTAACAATACATGCTTGTAAACCTTCTAAAATATCTCGGCCCCATAAGTTGACTGCAATTCCAGAGATGACATAGGGCTGAAACCATCCTGTCTGTCCCTCCTCATCTTGCCACCTTAACACTGCTGCACTACGTTGTGTGTCATTAGGAATTCCTACCCCCTTGACTGAGCCCATAGCTTCTACCGTGGACCAACTTGGAGGCCAGAACTCTTTGCTGATAACACTTACATCAGCTCCAGTGTCCACTAGACCCTTAAATTGTTTTTTCTCTATCCTTAAATTAATCATAGGACGGTTTTTGCTAATTTCATGTATCCAATAGATGTCTGAACTTGCCAATCCTTGCATTCCTCTTTTCCTATTTAAAGCCTCACCTTGCTGAACATAAGGTAGAAGTAATATCTGAGCAATTCTTTGTCCTACAGTAATTTGCATAACATGATTACATTCTAATATAACTTTAACTTCTCCTTCATAGTCTGAATCAATGACTCCAGGCAGGACAGTTAGTCCTTTTAGAGTGTTTCCACTCCTCCCTAAGATTAATCCTAAAGTTCCCAGTGGTACAGGTCCCCAAATTCCTGTAGGAATAGCTTGCCGAGCCATGTCAGGGGTCAAAGTGACCGCTATAGTGCTGTTAAGATCCAGGCTTGGGCTTCCTGGGGTTGCTCGGATGAGGGAACCCACTGTGGGCCTTGCAGGGCAGATTTCCCCTATTGATGACGGGGCTGGGGGTCGCCCCTCTGGCCGTTTCCCGGTAATTGACCATGCCCTCTATCTTGATCTAGAGGCTGCCCGTTTCGATGAAATTTTGATCTACACTGACTGGCCCAGTGGTTCCCTTTCTGACATCTAGGACACCGAGAGACTGAATCTGGAGGCTGAGTGTTTATGCCTCTCCCAAGCCTTCTCGGCTGCCTACATTCCTTCTGAAAATGTCCTCCTTTTCCACATTTATAACACCTCTTATTTCCACTTGTTACTGCAGCAGCAAGTAAATTCGCTTGAAAAGTGCTTGATCCTACATTCTGACATGCTTGGATCATTTCTGTAATGGTACTATTTTTTCTCAAAGGCATCAGGCATTTTTTACAATCAGCATTGGCATTTTCATAAGCTAATTGTTGAATTAAAATATCTCCTGCTGCCTCATGTTGAATCTGTCGTTTCACTGCTAGAGTGAGACGAGCCACAAAATCAGAAAATGGCTCTAAAGGTCCTTGCATACATTTAGTAAAAGATCCCTGTGGATCTCCTTTTGTTGGTAAAGCATACCAGGCTTTTCTACCACAAAGTCTAATTTGCTCATACGCCTGTTGCACATAATGTAGCTGATTTTGTATATCCATATACTGTCCCAGTCCTGCCAGCATTTCATAAGTTATGTGAGCATTTGGCCCTCCGTTTGCACGGGCTTGCTCTTGACATTTTTCCAAAAATTCTCCTTTCCATAGTAAATAATCTCCTCCATCCAGAGCTGCACGAGCCAAAGAATACCAATCATAAGGAGCTAAGAATGCTTCAGAAATACTATTTACAATTTCTCTTGTAAAAGGAGCCGTTGGACCATTTTGAACAACACTTTCTCGCAAAGCCTTTATCATTTTAAAGTCAATTTTTTCATGGTATCTTATTATCTGATTTTGGACCTGTGGGTCAGCTACTTGTACAATAGGAAAAGCAAGCCTTTCTTCCACAGACATGTCCTTCATTCCTTTTCTGATGGCTCTCTGTATAGATGATTCTATTGGTGGTGAATTAAATGTTCCAGGATTAGGACATGGAGGTGAAGGGGGCCGTAAAGGCCATTCCTTCAAGTTTTCTTCCTTCTCCTCTCTAGGAGGAGCAGAGGGAAGCAGGCGAGGAGCTTCCTCCTCAGCCTCTCTAAAAGGCTCTAATAATCTAAATACTGCGTTCCCCATGGAAAAACAGTTTTTCTGAGGTGCCTTTTTTCCTGCTGCTAAGCCCCTTTTCTTCAAATTTTTTTTTTACCACCTTTTGCTAAACACTCAAGATCTAATCTACCTTCTTCAGCAAACAAAGGGTTATATTCTAAAACAAAAACTATAAAAGAATACCTTCTGAAACGTTTAATTCTTTAAGCATACAAATAAAAAATTCTATAATAAAATTTACTTTATATTTATAACCTAATTCTTCCCCATTAGCCTGGCTGAAAAAAGACGTTCCCACCCTACTTACAGTTCGCGACTCTGCAGCTGGCCGTGGGCTTTGAGTGCGGTGAATTCCCCTCACCTTTTTTCTGGTGAATCTTCCACACCTTTTTTCTGGTGAATCTTCCACACCTTTTCTCGGTGTATTTTTCCTCCTTCGCTCTAGGCGAAAAATACCTTCTCCTCCAGAAGTCCCGCGTTGAAGGCGCCAGATATAGGACTCTCTTTCACGGCTCGCATAGAAAGAGTTCCAATTCAGGGTTCAGCTTCTGGAGAAGGGCCGCACACAAATGAAGAGACTTGAAGAAATTCAATTTGGCGATTTGGGGGGCCAGGCGGCAGTCCAACTCTAGTGGGAGAACTACTCTTGCTCTGGCCCTGCCATCCCCTTTTATTGAGGCTTTGGGGAAAACATCTTAAGCAACATAAACAGAAATTTACATGTAGCCCTGAGGCAGGAAATAACAGAAACTTACACAGGACAATAGGTAGATTCTGCTTCAGCTAACATAATCTCAACTAAAGGTTAGAGCAATTAAGGTTGTTGACCAGCCTTCCTGGCTTCCTGTCAACATCTCTTTTTCAGTGAAACTGATTTGGTTTCCAGCAGGAGATGGATGTCCAGAGAGGCTGAGCAGCCTGGCTGAGGTCACACAGCAGTGAGGAACCAAAGCCGGGCACCAGCCCCGGTCTGGGTGGGCCTGAAGCCCACCTCCCACCCCACTCCCTCCGGAGGCCGCCGCGAGGCCTGGCCCCTCGCAGCTCTCCACCCCGAGTGCATAACTTAGACGCACAGGGTGCTGGCACCCTGCCTCCCACACATGCTCCCTGGGCAGGTGCAGGCCGGGAGCTGCTGCTGCCAGCCGCTGTGACCCAGACCCCCGGTCCTGCTCTGGAGGCGTCTCCAGAGGAGAGAGGCAGGAAACCAAGCTGCAGGCAGAGAAAAGTCATCGCCAAATCATGATTTGTGTTGTGAAGGGAGTGAGAGGATGGAGGGTCCCTGAGGGGACATTTCATCGGGAGCCCAAAGGAGGAGGGGGTGGCTGTTTCGGTGGCAGGCAGAGCATGTGCAAAGGCCCTGGGGCAGGGAGAGCCTGGCTGGAGGACAGGAGTGTGGTGGTGAGAGGAGACCAGCTCCGGGTCCTGCCAGCCTCAGGCGCTGATTGCTGTGAAGTTGGAGGACACCAGCTCCTCAGACCCCGCCTGAGTCAGAAATGGGAAAGTCGGGGTTTCACTCAGGGCCGTGGTCGGCAAACTGCGGCTCGAGAGCCAAATGCAGCTCTTTGGCCCCTTGAGGGTGGCTCTTCCACAAAATACTATGGCCTGGGCGAGTCTATTTTGAAAAAGTGGCGTTAGAAGAAGTGTAAGTTTTAAAAAATTCGCTCTCCAAAGAAATTTCAATCGTTGTCCTGTTGACATTTGGCTGTGTGGACTAATGAGTTTGCCGACCACTGGGATAGGGGCTTAATCCCAAGGAGCAACCACAGCCTGTAATTATTGGAATCGAGAGTGTTTGGCAAACTCGTTAGTCAACAGAGCGGCAAACACTGGCTCATGAGCCGCATATATCTGGAGAGCGCAGTCTGCCGACCGCTGGGTTATGTGGACACCAGAGTCCTCCCTGCCCCCTGGCGCTGGGACCTGCCCCGGCTGCTGCCCTCTCCTGCAGGGACAGATGGGCACACGGCCCGGCCGGGCGGGCAGCAGGCCTCACGGCCCCCCCGGGCGGGTGCCCCTGCTGCAGCCCCTGCAGGGCAGCTGGCAGCCATTTTTACGGTGGGAACGTGGAGGCCGAAGGTGGGCCTCCCCCCCCACCCCCCCGTGGCCTCTGACCGTGCTCTCCGCCCCAGGACCTGCGGGTGGTCAGCACGGACGGCAGCCAGGTGCTGGTGGCGGTGCAGGAGTGGTACCAGACGGACACCTACAACCTGTACCTGTCGGACCCGCGCGGCGTGCTCTACGCGCTGGTGCTGGAGGACGTGCGCAGCTCCCGGCAGGCCGAGGGGGGCGTGCTGGTGGACGTGCTGGAGGTGGGCGCCCTCGGCCCGCCTGCCCCTCCCCCCAGTCCTCCGTCCCAGGCACGGGGGGAGGGGAGGGGTGTGTCCCAGGGGCACGGGGGGAGGGGAGGGGTGTGTCCCAGGGGCAAGGGGGGAGGGGAGGGGTGTGTCCCAGGGGCACGGGGGGAGGGGAGGGGTGGGTCCCAGGGGCACGGGGGGAGGGGAGGGGGGTGTCCCAGGGGCAGGGGGGGAGGGGAGGGGTGTGTCCCAGGGGCAAGGGGGGAGGGGAGGGGTGTGTCCCAGGGGCAAGGGGGGAGGGGAGGGGTGTGTCCCAGGGGCAGGGGGGGAGGGGAGGGGTGTGTCCCAGGGGCAGGGGGGTGTGTGTCCTAGGGGCAGGGGGGGAGGGGTGTGTCCCAGGGGCAACAGGGGGTGTCTGTCCCAGGGGCAGGGGGGGAGGGGGTGTGTGGTCCCAGGGGCACGGGGTGGGGGGTGTCCCAGGGGAACGGGGGGAGGGGAGGGGTGTGTCCCAGGGGCACGGGGGGTGTGTGTGTGTGTGTCCCAGGGGCAGGGGGGGAGGGGAGGGGTGTGTCCCAGGGGCACGGGGGGTGTGTGTCCCAGGGGCAGGGGGGGAGGGGGTGTGTGTCCCAGGGGCACGGGTGGAGGGGAGGGGTGTGGTGTCCCAGGGGCACGAGGGGAGGGGTGTGTCCCAGGGGCAGGGGGGAGGGGAGGGGGTGTGTCCCAGGGGCAGGGGGGTGTGTGTCCCAGGGGCAGGGGGGGAGGGGTGTGTCCCAGGGGCACAGGGGGTGTCTGTCCCAGGGGCAGGGGGGTAGGGAGTGTGTGTCCCAGGGGCACGGGGTGGGGGGTGTCCCAGGGGAACGGGGGGGAGGGGAGGGGTTTGTCCCAGGGGCACGGGGGTGTGTGTGTGTGTGTCCCAGAGGCAGGGGGGGAGGTTGTGTGTGTCCCAGGGGCACGGGGGGAGGGGAGGGGTGTGTCCCAGGGGCACGGGGGGAGGGGAGGGGTGTGTGTCCCAGGGGCACGGGGGGGGGAGTGTGTCCCAGGGGCACGGGGGGAGGGGTGTGTCCCAGGGGCACAGGGTGAAGGTCTCTCTCCCAGGTCCACGGGGTGAAGGGCGTCTTCCTGGCGAACCAGAAGGCCAACGGGAAGGTGAGGACGCTCATCACCTACAACAAGGGCCGCGACTGGGACCGCCTGCGGCCGCCCCCCCAGGACATGGAGGGGAAGCCCACCCACTGCCAGCCCGTGAGTGTCTCCGCCCGCTCCGCCCCCGCCAGCCCCGGGGCACGGGGTCCTTCCGCTGGCCGGCCATCGGGACGGGGTCACGGCGGGCGGGGTCACGGCGGGCGGGGTCACGGCGGGCGGGGTCACGGCGGGCGGGGTCACGGCGGGCGGGGTCACGGTGGGCGGGGTCACGGTGGGCGGGGTCACGGTGGGCGGGGTCTCAGTGGACGAGCCCTGAGGGCAGGGGGGCCGCTGGGCCGGCCATCGGGGACGGGACCACATTCTCAGTGCGGGGGACGGGGTCACGGCGGATGGAGTCGCGGTGGGCAGGTCACGGCAGGGTCACGGCAGGTAGGGTCACGGCGGGGTCACAGCGGACAGGGTCGCGGCGGACAGGGTGGCGGGCGGACAGGGTGCGGGCGGACAGGGTCACAGCGGACAGGGTGCGGGTGGACAGGGTCACGGCGGACAGGGTGCGGGCGGACAGGGTCACGGCGGACAGGGTGCGGGCGGACAGGGTCACGGCGGACAGGGTGCGGGTGGACAGGGTCACGGCGGACAGGGTGCGGGCGGACAGGGTCACGGCGGACAGGGTCACAGCGGACAGGTCGCGGCGGACAGGGTCACGGCGGACAGGGTGCGGGCGGACAGGGTCACGGCGGACAGGGTCACAGCGGACAGGGTCGCGGCGGACAGGGTGCGGGCGGACAGGGTCACGGCGGACAGGGTCACGGCGGACAGGGTCACAGCGGACAGGGTCACGGCGGACAAGGTCACGGCGGACAAGGTCACGGCGGACAGGGTGGCGGCGGACAGGGTGCGGGCGGACAGGGTCGCGGCGGACAGGGTGCGGGCGGACAGGGTGCGGGCGGACAGGGTCACGGCGGACAGGGTCACGGCGGACAGGGTCGCGGCGGACAGGGTCGCGGCGGACAGGGTCGCGGCGGACAGGGTGCGGGCGGACAGGGTCACGGCGGACAGGGTCACGGCGGACAGGGTGCGGGCGGACAGGGTCACGGCGGACAGGGTGCGGGCGGACAGGGTCACGGGCGGACAGGGTGCGGGCGGACAGGGTCACGGCGGACAGGGTGGCGGGCGACAGGGTCACGGCGGACAGGGTCACGGCGGACAGGGTGGCGGGCGGACAGGGTCGCGGCGGACAGGGTCACGGCGGACAGGGTCACGGCGGACAGGGTGCGGGCGGACAGGGTGCGGGCGGACAGGGTGCGGGCGGACAGGGTGCGGGCGGACAGGGTCGCGGCGGACAGGGTGCGGGCGGACAGGGTGCGGGCGGACAGGGTCACGGCGGACAGGGTCACGGCGGACAGGGTCGCGGCGGACAGGGTCGCGGCGGACAGGGTCGCGGCGGACAGGGTGCGGGCGGACAGGGTCACGGCGGACAGGGTCACGGCGGACAGGGTCGCGGTGGACAGGGTGGCGGGTGCTCCTTGCTCCCCAGGAGCGCTAACTGGGGGACAGAGGACGTGTGGCCCTGAGCTGCTGCTGCAGTGTTGCTGTGTAACCAGCCCCAGTGGTGTGCCTGGGCCCGGGCGGGCCGTGCTCCGTGTCGGGCATCCTCCCGGGACGCCCGGGACGCCCCCAGGGCCCGCCGGAGGTGGGCAGAGGCAGGCAGGCTCCTGGCAGCCCGCCGTGTTCCATCTCAGACCGGCTGGTGGCGCTGGTGCAGGGAGTGCCTCTGCCCGGGCCGCACCCCGATCTCACACGTAGCACCCCTGCTCAGGGGCAGGGAGGAATCTGGGGGCCTGGCCGCGGGGGGCGGGGGGGCGGGAGACGAGGCGTGGGTTTCCCGGGCCCTGGCACGGGGTGGGCACTCGGGGGCAGCAGGTGTGCGGGCTGAGGTGGAGGGACCATGGAGTCTGGCCGGAGGCAGGCTGCTCGGGGCCCGCCTGTCCTTCCTCCCGGGAGCCCCCTCCTCAGCTGCCCCTGCCCCCGCCTTCCCAGCGGCCCCCAGGGCGGGCAGGGCAGGGCTGAGGCACAGCCCGGCTGTCCCGGGTCCCCACGCCCCCTGGGCTCGGCCAGCCTGTCGGTGCCGCACCGCGGCAGGGTCGGGGGAGCCCTGTGCTTGTGGGGAGGACGACAGGGGACTCTCCACAGCAGGGAGGCAGGCCCACGCCCTCCAGGAGGCTGCACTGGGACAGGCTCACCGCTCACCTGTGTCTCTTCCAGGCCAGAGTGTCTCTTCCTCCTCCTCCCCCTCCTCCTCCCCCTCCCCCTCCTCCCCCTCCTCCTCCTCCTCCACTTCCTCCCCCTCCTCCCCTTCCTCTTCCTCCTCCTCTTCCTACTCCTCCCCCCTCCTCCCGCTCCTCCTCCTCCCCCTCCTCCTCCTTCTCCCGCTCCTCCTCCTCCCCCTCCTCCCCCTCCTCCTCCTCCCCTCCTCCTCCCCCTCCCCCTCCTCCGCCTCCTCCCCCTCCCGTCCCCCTCCTCCTCTTCCTACTCCTCTCCCCTACTCCCGCTCCTCCTCCCCCTCCTCCCCCTCCTCCTCCTCCCCCCCCTCCCCCTCCTCCTCCCCCCCTCCTCCTCCACTTCCTCCCCCTCCTCCTCCTCCCCCTCCTCCCCTTCCTCTTCCTCCTCCCTCTTCTACTCCTCCCCCTCCTCCCGCTTCTCCTCCCCCTCCTCCCCCCTCCTCCTCTCCCTCCTCCCCCTCCTCCCCTCCTCCTCCTCCCCCTCCTCCTCCCACTCCCCCTCCTCCTCCTCCTCCCCCTCCCCGTCCCCCTCCTCCTCTTCCTACTCCTCCCCCCTCCTCCTCTCCCTCCTCCCCCTCCTCCCCCTCCTCCTCCTCCCCCTCCTCCTCCCACTCCCCCTCCTCCGCCTCCTCCCCCTCCCCGTCCCCCTCCTCCTCTTCCTACTCCTCCCCCCTCCCGCTCCCTCCTCCCCCTCATCCCCCCCTCCTCCTCTCCCTCCTCCGCCTCCTCCCCCTCCCGGTCCCCCTCCTCCTCTCCCTCCTCCCCCTCTTCCTCCTCCTCCTCCTCCTCCTCCTGCTTCTCCTCCTCCTCCGCCTCCTCCCCCTCCCCGTCCCCCTCATCCCCCTCCTCTTCCTTCTCCTCTTCTTCCTCCTCTTCCTCCTCTTCCTCCTCCTCCGCCCCCTCCCCCTCCCCCCCCCCCTCCTCCTCTCCCTCCTCCCCCCCCTCCTCCTCCCCCCCTCCTCCCGCTCCTCCTCCTCCTCCTCCTCCTCTTCCTCCTCCCTCCTCCTCCTCCTCCTCCTCCTCCTCCTCCTCCTCCGTAAAGGGGGTAACGGCACCTGCTTTGCAGGGCCCGGCCGCGGTGGCCCAGTCCAGGCAGGATGGGTCCCCCCCCTCCCGAAAGGAGAACTGACCCCGGGGGCTCTGAGAAAGCCCCCTCCCTGGGCAGGGACGCCCCTTGCTGAGCCGGGCTCACCCACCAGCTCGGCTTGCCACCCTCGCCTAAGCCCCTCCGTCGCTGGTGACGGGTGAGAGGCCGCTGACCTTCCCAGAGCCGGGCTGCGAGGGCAGCCCGGTCTGTCACACGCTCTAAGAACAGATGCCCGTCTCCGAGGAGGGGCCTCAGGAGCGTCCCGCCCTCGGGTCACCGGGCAGGCCAGACCCCGTGAACAAGGCGAGGGCAAGGCGGGCACCTGTGGGCACAGACAGGACGTGGAGGGCGCAGGGCTCCCCCTCCTGCGGCCTGGTGGCCGGGGAGGCGGACACGGGACTGTCCTCACCCGGCCACGGTCCGCGGGGAGCAGGACAGACGGACTGGGCCCGTCGCCATCGCCTGCCCGCGCCCGGCCCTGCCCGCGGGCTCCCCGCTCCCTCGTCCGCCCGCACACGGGCCTGAGCGGGCGCAGCCAGCTGCCTCTCAGACCGGGACAGACAACAGAGCTCTCGGACGCACAGGCCGGCCCTGCCCTCCCGCTGTCTGACCGGATCAATATCCAATCTGTGAGCCGTTTCCTTGTTGCCTCGGGAAGCTTTGTGAAACGGACCACAGGCAGAGGCGGCAGCACACACCGAGGAGGCCCCTCCGGATGTCAGTGCCGCCTCCCGCCCTGAGGCTCCGGCTCTGCCGCCTGCTCTGCGGGCAGGAGGCCCTCCCCGCACAGCGAGCGGCCCCTGCGGAGTCCCCCGCGGAGGCCCCTCCGGGATCTCAGGCCTCAGTCCCGGGGGGTTTCTCAACTGGAGATGTTTTCAGAGGAGGGGACTGGAGGGGAGGGGAGGGGAGGGGAGGGGAGGGGAGGGGAGGGGAGGAGGGGAGGGAAAGAACAGGAAAGGGAAAGGGAGGGGGGGAGGAGGGGGAGGGGCCCCTGGCCCAGCGCCGACGCCTTTGCCGCAGTCAGTTGGTCTCAGGGCCTCCGCCTCCAGCGCTCCCTGGAGGTGCTCCCTGGAGGTGCTCCCGCCCCCCCCTCCCCCCAGAAGCCACAGGCTGGGCCTGGCCTCGGGCCTCCCTTCCCGGGACAGCGCCCCCGCCAGGTGCTAATGCTTCCTTCCTCCTGCAGCCCGACTGCCACCTGCACCTGCACCTGCTCTGGGCGGACAACCCCTACGTGTCAGGCACCGTGCACACCAAGGAGACGGCGCCCGGCCTCATCATGGGCGCAGGTAGGAGGCGGCCGCAGGGCCGGGAGCCGGTCCCCGAGGGGACAGAGCATCTGCTGATGGGTGTCCTGAGGGCAGTGACAGCTCCTGGGAGTCGGCTGCAGTGGAAAACCAGGAGGGGGAACGCATGGGCCAGGGCGCACGTGATGCCTGTTGGCTGAATGGGAAGGTGGAGGGAGGATGGATGGAGGGAGGGAGGGATGATGGAGGGAGGGAGGGAGGGAGGGATGGGTGGATCAGTAGGTGGATGGGTGAGTGATGAACAGATACATGGGTTGATGGGTGAGTGGGTGGGTGGATGGATGGGTGGTGGGTGGATGTGTGGGATGGATAGAGGGTGGGTGGGTGCATGGATGGATGGGTGGGTGATGGATGGAGTTGAGTGGACGTCAGGGGGTCATCTTTGAAAAGTTTGCTTGTTTTACTCTGGGCAGATGGCCTAGGGAGGTGTCCTTATCAGCATCTTCCAAAGCCTGCAAGACATTCTTAGAGTGGAAGTTAGGAAGGGGAGAGGGAAAGGGAACTTTCCACTCATTCTCCCTGAGTTGTAACCCAGCAAGGAGGAGGGGGATGCAAGAATGCAGCCTGGAGAGTGACTAGTCTTGCCGTTGGAACACAGGGGCTGTTTGAATCAGGGCAGCCAACCGTCGTGGATTTTAGTTACCAGGTGCTTCTCGCACGTGGTAGAGGCAAAGAGAAAGACAGGCCTATCCCTGTTCTCACACCACACCCACCGCCACTCTACGTTTCTTACTCTGCGACCGCACTCATCACCCGGGGTCCCCCGAGACCGGCTGCCTGCACCGGGCCCGCTGGTCAGGCTGGAGGTGCGGGGCTGGCTTCTTTGGGGCAAGGCTGACCCTTTAACACAGACTCGGCCGGGCCCAAGCAGAGCAGTCACACTGCCCCGTCATGGTCAGACGGACGCAGACGGGGCGCACCGGCGGGTGGCTCTGCCGGGGGACCAGGCACAGGACCAGGACCCTCCCGGGGACTTGTCTGGCTCAGACCATGGTTAAGCGGGGAGCCGGCTGGGCCCAGACCAACCCCACCCCTTCCTTCCGGCCCAGGGAACCTGGGCTCCCAGCTGGTGGAGTACAAGGAGGAAATGTACATCACGTCGGACTGCGGGAGGACCTGGCGGCAGGTGAGGCGGCGGGAGGGGCCGCGCCCACCCCGAGCTCGGTCTGTGACCCCCCCTCCCGTGGGCGGGTGGCCGGACACACAGCTCCCGTCAGCGGATGCCACATCCCCGCTGGCCCAGCCGCCAACTGTCCCACGGCCATTGCTGGCCTGGCTCCGCTCCACACGGTCACACACGGTCACACACGGTCCGTGAACTCGGAAGCAAAGGAAGTGAATGCCAGGACGGGGGATGGGGTGGAGGTGCTGGTCCCCGCAGGAAGCCACTGGGGACGCCAAGGCATCGGCTGAGTGTGACTCGGAGCTGAGAAGTGGGGGCATGGACGGCCTGGGGTCCCGGCCTGGGGTCCCGGCAGGGAGGCTGCTGGGTGGAGTCACGGAGGAGAAAGAAGGAACGGGAAGAGGAGGTTGGGGGCCGCAGTGAGGCTAGGCGGCCGTGGTGAGCCTGGGGGCCCCCCACATGGAGCCTGGGGGGGCCCTCACACAGCCTGCGGGCCTGGCCCGGCACCGCCACACCCCCAGCAGCGAGGCCTGCAGGCTGCCACCCCCCGGAGGGCCATTTCCGCCTGACGCTCAGGAGCCGCTCTAGACCTGCCGTGCGCGTCCCTTCCCGTCGCCAAAAAGCTGGGGCTTCGGGCCCCTTTCTGCCCCCGCTCCCCAGCCGCAGCCCCTCTCGGGGGGGGGGGGGGCAGGACGGGGCTCCCACAGGCATGTCGGTCCCCGGCGAACAGCGCTGCAGCCCTGATCGGGGGCCGGCTTTTCATTGCTGAGCCAGAAACGGGCTTTGAAAAGGGCAAACGTGATTTATTGTGCGATAATGTTTCTGTCTCTCCGAGCTCATGGGGTGTGTCTGAGCGTCCCCAAAGGTCAGCAGCTGCCGCTCATCGGAGCCGGCTAGTTCAGCGCGGAACACACACACACACACACACACACGCACACGCACACGCACACGCACAGGCACACACACACGGTCTCTCACCTCGGGGACCCGTGCACGGCGCTGGCCCCTGTCTGAGATCTCACACAGGATCCAGGGGGGACTGTCAGCTCAGAGCTGAGTGTGGGCCTGCCCTCGGGTGTGGTCCCCCCCAAATGATGAGGGTGCAGGGAGCTCGGTGCCCGGGAGGAGAGGAGAGCACCCACGTAAGCACCAAGCACCGGAGGGTTTCAGGGGAGGAGACTGCAGAGCTGGCTTGGGGTGGGAGAGGCCGGGGACCAGGTGGGACAAAGGTCGGTAAGTGCTCAGGCCAGACCCTGTGCCTCCCGCCAGCACGTGCATGACGAAGGCCAGCAGGGAGCGCAGTCCACGACGCCCCAGGCGATGGAAACAGCAGCGGGGCCGCTGAGGGAGGTGCTGGGAGCCAGGGGCAGGGGGGCAGGACACGGAGACGGCCTGCTGCCTGGGGCTGGCCGGGGCACAGACAGCCACAGCCAGGGGCCAGCGCCCTGGGAGCCTGCTGGGCGTTTGGAAACCCCGAAGCCCCCTTTACAGAGGCCCAGCTAACGCGTGTGGATGGTCTGTCCCCTCCCTCACCCCGGAGTCTGTCTGTTATCGAGGCCTCCGGCAGCATGCTTTCCCAGCTAACGGCTAGGACACGGGACACCAGCTAACGGCTAGGACACGGGACACCAGCTAACGGCTAGGACACGGGACACCAGCTAACGGTTAGGTCACGGGACACCAGCTAACGGTTAGGACACGGGACACCAGCTAACGGCTAGGACACGGGACACCAGCTAACGGCTAGGACACGGGACACCAGCTAACGGTTAGGTCACGGGACACCAGCTAACGGTTAGCACACGGGACGCCAGCTAACGGCTAGGACACGGGACGCCACGCGTCCCGTCCTCTGATCCCTGCAGCTGCGGCCGTGGAATCGGCAGCAGTGAGCACCGTGGGGCGTAACCGGGGAGAACTGTTAGTGCCCTGGCACCAGGCGGGCTTCCTGGAGGAGGCAGCACTGGCCTAGCCTAACGCCAGTAGGGTTTCTGTTACTGAGGGTGTGCGTCCTAGCTGCTCTTTTTTTTTTTTTTTTTTTTTTTTTTTTTAATGTACTTTTATTTATTTCGGAGAGAGGAAGGGAGAGAGAGAGAGAGAGAGAGAGAGAGAGAAGCGTCGGTGCTGAGAGAACCATTGCTGGGCTGCCTTCTGCACGCCCCCTACAGGGGACCGAAACCTCCACCAGACACGTGCCCACCCCGGACCCGAACGGCCACCTCCGGGCTCACAGGGTGATTTCAGCCACGGAGCCACGGGGCCGGGCCCGCCCGCTTTTCCGGATTCCGTTCCTCCTCCTGTCTTCCTGTCCTCGGCCTTCCTGGCCAGGTTCTCATGGGGGCCCCCTCTCCCCCACACCCCCCTCCCCCGCAGTGTCTGCCTGCGCTGTCCTTCCTCCCGCCCCTCGCTGGTCGGGAAACAGGCATTCGCCACCTGTCCACCCCGCGTGGGCGGAGTCCACGTGGTGTGGCAAAGCCTGGCACGGCTCGGAGGCCCCGGAGCCCCGCGCGGCCTGGCTGGGGCCGGCTGCCCCCGGAGGCCGCCCTCAGCGCCCGTCCCCGCAGGTGTTCGAAGAGGAGCACCACATTCTGTTCCTGGACCACGGCGGCGTCATCGTGGCCGTCAAGGACAGCTCCATCCCCCTGAAGATCCTCAAGTAACGTGGGCGGGAGGCCTCGCGTGGGTGTGGGGGGACAGGAAACAGGCGCAGTGCAGCACCGCGCGGGAGGCCCAGGCGCGGGGCCAGAAGAGGCCCCGCTGTAGTCCCGGGGAGGAGGGAGGGCCCCCGGAGGAGGTGCCTTTTCAGCATCCATAGGAATCATCTCAGTGGAGGGGGTGGGCCGGACAGGGGAACCAGCAGCGCGGGCTCGGGGGGAGAGTGTTTGCCATTGGCTCTGCACGTCTGAGGGGCTGTGAGGAGCAGGGAGGGCAGGTCTGAACTCTGCATCCAGAAGGCAGAGTCGGGAGCAGCCAGGAAGCCGGTATCACTTTAGTCTGAAAGAGCTTCGCACTCGGAGCCAGCGGCACCGTGACAGCTCTGGCCAGGCTCGGGCGCTGGGGGCGCAATCTCAGGTGCCAGGCTGCACCCTGACTCCGTGGTGTTGCTGCTGAGCAGGTGTGGGTGCCACTTGGTGCCGGCAGGTGGCTGCTGCTGGCCTCCCAGAGAGAGCAAAGCCAGGGGTCCCGTGGGGCCTGGGTTCTGGGTGGCCCTGGCACACGGCTCCCTCCGCTGCCCTCCCGGCCGCCTCCGCTGGCGCTCTGGTCCCGGGCACAGGTCCCCGGGCACAGACAGGGCTGGTCCAGGCAGCAGCGGAGCTGGGCACGGGGGCCCCTGCTGCCCGCGGACGCTGGCCCTCCCGCCGCAGGTTCAGCACGGACGAGGGCCTCACGTGGAGCACCTACAACTTCACCGACACCTCGGTGTTCGTGGACGGGCTGCTGAGCGAGCCGGGCGAGGAGACACTGGTGATCACGTGAGTGCCGGGCCGGGCCGGGCCAGCTGACCCCCACCCCCCGGGGCTGTGCCGGGGCCGCCCCGGCCTCCGCTGCTCCGAGGGAACCAACGCTGACCCCAGACCCCTCCCTCGCTCTCCCTCATCCCCCCACCAGCCTCCTCCCGGCCTCCCAGCCACGAGGTGGCCACCGTCTGCCCCAGTTCGGGACACCTTTCCCTGCCCAGGCCTCCCGGCTGCGGAGAGGCGCAGCCACAGCCCCTCCCGCCTCGCGAGCTGCCACCTTATTATTACTGCTGCCACCGTTATTGGCATGTGAGGGTGCTCGGGCGCGTTGTGCAGTGAGGCCCAATTGCAGATGGGCGGGTGTGGGTGCCCTGAGCCAGCGGGCCTGGCCTGGGTGCTGGGGCTGAGGCTGGGCCGGAGGCATGTGGGCCTGGTGGCCGGAGGGCGGCGTGGCTGGGCCCGGTGCAGTGGGGCCTGGGGCCGAGGGGCAGGGCCGCCGGGCCCACGTGAGGTTCCCGCCTTCGCCTCCAGCATCTTCGGCCACATCAGCTACCGCTCCGAGTGGGAGCTGGTCAAGGTGGACTTCCGGCCGTCCTTCCCCCGGCCCTGCGGCGCCGAGGACTACGGCGCCTGGGAGCTCACCAACCTGCAGGTGGGCGGCGCCGGGGGGGGGGCTCCCGCAGGCCCCTCCCCCAGCAGGGTCCCCCTCCCCCCGCGGCCCCGGCTCTCCTCCCCCAGCCGGACACCAGGCCTCCAGGTGTCTGGCCCCTTCTCGGAGCCTGGCTCCTCGGGGCTCGGTCACACTCGGGGCGCAGGTCCTGGGGAGTCAGGTGTGCATGGGGCCAGGGGGTGGGCCCTGGGAAGGACACAGCACGTGTGGGCATGACCTGACGCCTGTGGGGCTGGGCAGCCCCATGATTCCGCACGCGTTTCCACGGCAGCAGGTCTGGTGGGAACGCGAGGCCTCTCTGGGGCACAGGCCCGCCGCAGGGGCACAGGCTGCGGACCTACTGTGCGTCCACAGGAGCCCTCCAGCCCGCGTCCAGCAGCCGTGTCCCCTCCAGCCCGGACGGAGCTCGGTGGCACCTCCTCCGGGAAGCCCGCCCTGACCACCCGCCCTGGGCTGGCCTGTCACACGCGCTGTGGGCGGGAGGGAAGGAGGCTGCCCACTGGCCTTCAGACGCGCCCCTCCCCTCCTGTGAAAGGGCTCCAGCCCCCCGTCCCCCCCCGCCGCAGGGCGACGGCTGCCCCATGGGCCAGCGCCGGAGCTTCCGGAGGAGGAAGGCTGCGGCCTGGTGCGTCAACGGCAGGAACTTCACGGCGGCGCTCAGCGCCCAGGTGTGCCCGTGCCAGGACTCCGACTTCCTGTGGTGAGGGCGCGGGCTCGGGGGCCGGCGCAGGCAGGAGCGGGCGGGAGGGGCAGGGAAGGCCGGGCCAGGTATGGAGCCACTGCAGGCGGCCAGCTGGAGGGAGCCAGGCCTGCTGCACCCCCGCCCCGCTCCCCTCTCCTGGGGGCCCACTGCCCCAGCCCAGCTCACGAGGCTCCGTCCACCCAACTGCCTCCCAGCCGCCCTCACCCTCGGCCTCCTGTCCCTCACACTCTGGCTGCTTCCCCCTGCAGCCCCTGCGCCAGTGTGGAGGGGCTGGTCCCCCTGCAGCGCCCCTCGCCTCTCTCCCTAAGAGCTTCGGGGCACCACCTCCAGGCAGCCCTCCAGGACTCCCAGGCTGGGCTCAGTGCTCTCCTGTGAGCTCCCAGAATCCCCTTGGCACCCCTCACCTGGAGCTGCTGGTGGCGTTCGGCCGGCTCCCCTCTGGTGCAGGGCCCCGGGGGTGCACCTCTGTGACTCCTCCCCCATCTGCACCCCCCGTCCCCCCCGCCCCCCGCCGCCTCCTGACGGACGCTCTCTCCCTCAGCGACTATGGCTTCGAGCGCTCCCTCTCCGACACCAGCAAGTGCTTCGCCAACTTCTGGTTCAACCCCCTGGCGCCCCCGGACGACTGTGCCCAGGGCCAGACCTACACCAGCAGCCTCGGGTGCGTGCGCCGGCCCCGGTCGGGCTCCGGGCGGAGGGGGGGCGCCCAGCGGCCTCCTGCCGGGCCCGAGAAGGCCGGGCGGAGCCCCGAGCGCGCCGGACGCCCGCACCAGGGAGCGGGGGCGGAGCTGGCGCGGAGCTGAGGTGACAGGAGGGACCGTCCGTCCGCGGTGCCCGAGCTCCGCCCGCGGCAGCCGGGCCGGGGAAGCTCCTCGGGGGCTCTGAGCCCTGCGGCCCGGACGGCCGTTCACCTGCCGCGGCCGCTCCAGAGTGGTTAGCGCCGGGGGTCGGACGGGAGCCTGGCCGGCCAGAGTGGTTAGCGCCGGGGGTCAGGCGGGAGCCTGGCCGGCCAGAGTGGTTAGCGCCGGGGGTCAGGCGGGAGCCTGGCCGGCCAGAGTGGTTAGCGCCGGGGGTCGGACGGGAGCCTGGCCGGCCAGAGTGGTTAGCGCCGGGGGTCGGACGGGAGCCTGGCCGGCCAGAGTGGTTAGCGCCGGGGGGTCAGACGGGAGCCTGGCCGGCCAGAGTGGTTAGCGCCGGGGGTCAGACGGGAGCCTGGCCGGCCAGAGTGGTAGCGCCGGGGGTCGGACGGGAGCCTGGCCGGCCAGAGTGGTTAGCGCCGGGGGTCGGACAGGAGCCTGGCCGGCCAGAGTGGTTAGCGCCGGGGGTCAGACGGGAGCCTGGCCGGCCAGAGTGGTTAGCGCCGGGGGTCAGACGGGAGCCTGGCCGGCCAGAGTGGTTAGCGCCGGGGGTCGGACGGGAGCCTGGCCGGCCAGAGTGGTTAGCGCCGGGGGTCGGGCGGGAGCCTGGCCGGCCAGAGTGGTTAGCGCCGGGGTCAGGCGGGAGCCTGGCCGCTCAGAGTGGTTAGCGCCGGGGGTCGGACGGGAGCCTGGCCGGCCAGAGTGGTTAGCCGCCGGGGGTCGGACGGGAGCCTGGCCGGCCAGAGTGGTTAGCGCCGGGGGTCGGACGGGAGCCTGGCCGGCCAGAGTGGTTAGCGCCGGGGGTCGGACGGGAGCCTCGCCGGCCAGAGTGGTTAGCGCCGGGGGTCGGACGGGAGCCTGGCCGGCCAGAGTGGTTAGCGCCGGGGGTCGGACGGGAGCCTGGCCGGCCAGAGTGGTTAGCGCCGGGGGTCAGACGGGAGCCTGGCCGCTCCAGAGTGGTTAGCGCCGGGGGTCAGACGGGAGCCTGGCCGGCCAGAGTGGTTAGCGCCGGGGGTCAGGCGGGAGCCTGGCCGGCCAGAGTGGTTAGCGCCGGGGGTCAGGCGGGAGCCTGGCCGCTCCAGAGTGGTTAGCGCCGGGGGCCAGACGGGAGCCTGGCCGGCCAGAGTGGTTAGCGCCGGGGGTCGGACGGGAGCCTGGCCGGCCAGAGTGGTTAGCGCCGGGGGTCGACAGGAGCCTGGCCGGCCAGAGTGGTTAAGCGCCGGGGGTCGGACGGGAGCCTGGCCGGCCAGAGTGGTTAGCGCGGGGGCCAGACGGGAGCCTGGCCGGCCAGAGTGGTTAGCGCCGGGGGTCGGACGGGAGCCTGGCCGGCCAGAGTGGTTAGCGCCGGGGGTCGGACGGGAGCCTGCCTGCCAGAGTGGTTAGCGCCGGGGGTCGACGGGAGCCTGGCCGGCCAGAGTGGTTAGCGCCGGGGGCCAGACGGGAGCCTGGCCGGCCAGAGTGGTTAGCGCCGGGGGTCGGACGGGAGCCTGGCCGGCCAGAGTGGTTAGCGCCGGGGGTCAGGCGGGAGCCTGGCCGGCCAGAGTGGTTAGCGCCGGGGGGTCAGACGGGAGCCTGGCCGGCCAGAGTGGTTAGCGCCGGGGGGTCAGACGGGAGCCTGGCCGGCCAGAGTGGTTAGCGCCGGGGGTCAGACGGGAGCCTGGCCGCTCCAGAGTGGTTAGCGCCGGGGGTCGACGGGAGCCTGCCGGCCAGAGTGGTTAGCGCCGGGGGTCAGGCGGGAGCCTGGGCCGGCCAGAGTGGTTAGCGGCGGGGGTCGGACGGGAGCCTGGCCGGCCAGAGTGGTTTAGCGCCGGGGGTCAGACGGGAGCCTGGCCGGCCAGAAGTGGTTAGCGCCGGGGGTCGGACGGGAGCCTGCCGGCCAGAGTGGTTAAGCGCCGGGGGTCGGACGGGAGCCTGGCCGGCCAGAGTGGTTAGCGCCGGGGGTCGGACGGGAGCCTGGCCGGCCAGAGTGGTTAGCGCCGGGGGTCGGACGGGAGCCTGGCCGGCCAGAGTGGTTAGCGCCGGGGGTCAGACGGGAGCCTGGCCGGCCAGAGTGGTTAGCGCCGGGGGTCGGACGGGAGCCTGGCCGGCCAGAGTGGTTAGCGCGGGGGGTCAGACGGGAGCCTGGCCGGCCAGAGTGGTTAGCGCCGGGGGTCAGACGGGAGCCTGGCCGGCCAGAGTGGTTAGCGCCGGGGGTCGGACGGGAGCCTGGCCGGCATCTGGGCAGGTCCTGCCACCGCTCATCCCCCTCCTCCGCCTCCGTCCCCACAGGCCACAGTGCAGGGGAGGCAGGAGGGCCTGGTGGCGAACGGAGGGGCAGCCAAGAGGCACGCAGGACACACACTCACACACACACACACCCGGCACACACAGACACTCACACACACACACTCACACACACACACACACCCGGCACACACAGACACTCACAAACACACACACTCACACACACACACACCCGGCACACACAGACACTCACAAACACACACACTCACACACACACACACACACACACACCCGGCACACACAGACACTCACAAACACACACACTCACACACACACACACCCGGCACACACAGACACTCACAAACACACACACTCACACACACACACACACACACACCCGGCACACACAGACACTCACACACACACACTCACACACACACACACACCCGGCACACACAGACACTCACACACACACACTCACACCACACACACACACCCGGCACACAGACACTCACAAACACACACACTCACAACACACACACACCCTGCACACACATACACTCACAACACACACACTCACCACACACACACACACACACACCGGCACACACAGACACTCACAAACACACACTCACACACACACTCACACACACACACACACCCGGACACACAGACACTCACAAACACACACTCACACACACACACACACACACACACACCCGGACACACAGACACTCACAAACACACACTACACACACCACACCACCCGGACACACAGACACTCACACACACACACACTCTCACGCACACACACACACACACACACCCGGACACACACACACACTCACACACACACACAATCATACACACAGCACACACACGTGCGTGTGCACACACACTCACACACACACGCACACCCGGACACACACAGACACTCACAAACACACACACACACACACACACACACTCACACACACACACACAAACACACCCCGGACACACACAGACACTCACACACACACGCACACCCCGCCGCAGCCCTGACCGCTCTCCCCGCAGGTACCGGAAGGCAGTGGCCAACCTGTGCCAGGGCGGCGTGGACCTGGCGCGGACCCCGGCGCCGCGGCCGTGCCCCCTGACCCCGCCGCGGGGCCTGCGGCTCAGCATCCTGGGCGACGCGGTGGCCGTGCGGCCGGGGGAGGACGTGCTGTTCGAGGTGCGGCAGGAGCAGGTGAGCCCCCGCCCCCTCCCCCCGGGCCCCTGCAGGCCCAGCGCCCGGGCCCTCCCCCCCGTGGCCCCTGCAGGCCCAGCGCCCGGGGCCCTCCCCCCCGGGCCCCTGCAGGCCCAGCGCCCCGGGCCCTCCCCCCCCGTGGCCCCTGCAGGCCCAGCGCCCCGGGCCCTCCCCCCCGTGGCCCCTGCAGGCCCAGCGCCCGGGGCCCTCCCCCCGTGCCCCTGCAGGCCAGTGCCCCCCCCCAGTGCCCTCTGCAGGCCCAGCGCCCCGGGCCCTCCCCCCCGTGGCCCCTGCAGCCAGTGCCCCCCCCCCAGGGCCCTCTGCAGGCCCAGCGCCCGGGGCCCTCCCCCCCGTGGCCCCTGCAGGCCCAACGCCCCGGGCCTCCCCCCCCGTGGCCCTGCAGGCCCAGCGCCCGGGGCCCTCCCCCCCTGGCCCCTGCGGCCCAGCGCCCAGGGCCCTCCCCCCCGGGCCCTGCAGGCCCAGCGCCCCGGGCCCTCCCCCCCGGGCCCCTGCAGGCCCAGCGCCCCGGGCCCTCCCCCCCGAAGCCCCTGCAGGCCCAGTGCCCCCCCCCAGGGCCCTCTGCAGGCCCAGCGCCCGGGGCCTCCCCCCCGTGGCCCCTGCAGGCCCAGCACCCCGGGCCCTCCCCCCCGTGGCCCTGCAGGCCCAGTGCCCCCCCCCCAGGGCCCTCTGCAGGCCCAGCACCCGGGGCCCTCCCCCCCACCGGGCCCCTGCAGGCCCAGCGCCCCGGGCCCTCCTCCCCGTGCCCCCTGCAGGCCCAGCGCCCGGGGCCCTCCCCCCCGTGGCCCCTGCAGGCCCAGCGCCCGGGGCCCTCCCCCCCGTGGCCCCTGCAGGCCCAGTGCCCCCCCCCCAGGGCCCTCTGCAGGCCCAGCACCCGGGGCCCTCCCCCCCGTGGCCCCTGCAGGCCCAGCGCCCGGGGCCCTCCCCCCCGTGGCCCTGCAGGCCCAGTGCCCCCCCCCCAGGGCCCTCTGCAGGCCCAGCGCCCGGGGCCCTCCCCCCCGTGGCCCCTGCAGGCCCAGTGCCCCCCCCAGGGCCCTCTGCAGGCCCAGCGCCCGGGGCCCTCCCCCCCGTGGCCCCTGCAGGCCCAGTGCCCCCCCCCCCAGGGCCCTCTGCAGGCCCAGCGCCCGGGGCCCTCCCCCCCGGGCCCCTGCAGGCCCAGCGCCCGGGGCCCTCCCCCCCGTGGCCCCTGCAGGCCCAGCGCCCGGGGCCCTCCCCCCCGTGGCCCCTGCAGGCCCAGCGCCCGGGGTCCTCCCAGCCCCCAGCGGGGGGCCACGCAGCGATGAGAGCGAGGGGGGGCGAGGGCCCGCAGGGCGCCCCGCACTGGCTCGGGGCCGCGGCAGGCGCTCAGCACGCTTGTAGGGTGAGCGACTTGGAAGCTGAAGGAGAGGGAAGTTCAAACAGACTGAGTATAACCCACAGCCAGAGGCCCGGCGCTCAGTAGAGGGAGGGGGAAGGGAGGTGCAGGTGTCCCCTGCTCCCCCCAATGTGTATATAAACGTCCCTCAGTCTCCCAATGTCTGTCCTTTAGTAGAAGTGTTACATTTCCTCCTG